CTCAGAAGAGAAAGAAAAATATAAAACAAAGGAAAACTGAATGTGGGAAAGATAAGCTGTCCTGGGAGTGAGATTTTATATACCAAATCAATGTATTCTATAAAAATGTGCACATTTGTTCAAGGTAGGTCAGAGGTTTGGCTCTAACACTTCTAGTAGCCAACAAACACAGGATGATCCAATCAGTCACATGATTCAATTCTTAAGATAAAAACACGAAGCAATCAAAGAACTGTCTTTCCCTTGCTCCTCATAAAAAGGAAACAATATAATGCAACAAATGAAGTCCTTGAGGACATCTTTGCCGTTGATTTCTCAGAAAACTGTGGGAAGACCATTCCTCATAACAACCTTCATAGGCAAAGGACAGCACACAAGTTAAGAAATGCAAATGATGGAGAAGATGAGAATCAGGCCAAGGAAGGGGTCCAGGTACACAGCTCCTTGCAGGTCTAGATTTATCAAAATCAGATTTTATTCTACCTGAACCAACTTAAAATCCAGAGGGTTCATGCATCCACTTATCTTTAAAATTATAAAGAAAACTTGATGCACACATCCATTCTTCTTGGGCTATGTTTGTAGTTTCATAACATCCTCAAAGGGAAGCATGACTCAAGAAATGTTAAAAACCAATGATCTAAAGAAGTAGAGTATCGGTATCCTTCAGGGAACGTTCCATAAGCAGTTTCTTCTCTGAACTTCCAAGAAGTGCTAAGCCTCAAGACTGCAGCGAAATACAACTTCTCTGATGCCAGGTGTGGAACTCTAAGTTTAACCACTGGCCAACCTATGTGTCAACTGTATGATACCATGACCTTTAATAAGTAGTGAGGGAACACATAACCATCTGCTTTTTCAGATAGGTTTCAGCCATGAACATTGACAAAGTTGTCTCAAAGGATTGGTGATATTTCTTCTACATAATATAAAAAGGAAAAGAAACAAAAAAACACCCACCTTTCGCCTGTAGATAAAAATTACAGATAAGCACACACACACACACACACCACACACAAACCTTTTTCCTAGATAAAAATTATTTTTTAATTTTAAAAATAACCTTTCCACATCAGTTGGTATATTTGAGTATTTTTTCCTTTTTGTTGTTTCAATCTTTTTAAATCTTTTGTTATACAGAAAAACAATCACAGCCATAGCTTTACACAAACACACACACACACACATACACACACACACACAGAATCAACCATCCACCACAGTATCATGGTTAGAATGTCTCAAAGGCCTGACAGCATCAAGTGAGGAAGCTGGCCTATCGGACCACTGAGACAAAGCTCTTTAAGATTCATTCATGTAGAAGTCACAGCTATCCAGAGTCTGGTCCTCAGCATAAGAAGTCCAGAGATATATCTTTGTCAAAAATATACAAGTGAATAGACTAAAGGGTACCAACTCATTCTAAGAGGCTGAAGTGCAAATCAGAATACCAACTTATTAATTAATCATAGAGAACTGTCTTTTCCAGTAATCAGAAAGTTTGCACCAAAAGCCAGGATGCTGCTTCCCCAATGCTAAGATACCTGAAATCCCAAATTGGTAATCAGTTTACCATCAGTTAGAACAAAGAAATATAGAGTTTGAGGAATACCAAATAAATTATCCATATCCAACATATGCCTTTCTAGTGATCAAAACTGTGGCTTTCACACAGAGTCTCTCTTTCTAGGATGTTGGTGCCCTAACAGTGCAGACTTCTTGGTCTCTAAGCTTTCTTTTCCACATCCTTCCACATCCATTAAGTATTTTTCTTGGTATGTATAATACAACTGATAGATGTGTACCTTACGTGCATTATTATCCCTATTTTTCAGACTAATAACTCCCAGATAAAGTTGATTAAGCAACTTGTCCATGGTCACAGCTAGTTTAAGGCAGAGCAGAGATTCAAAGTCAGATCTCAAATCAAAACCTGTGCCTTTAACTTGCAGTAAATTATTCAAAGTAAATTATTCTTTCCCTGGGCCTCCCACCTCCCAGTATGATTTAAATGTCCCTACTCAGTGTTCCCATAACACCCTAAGCACATCATGACTATAATTTTTGTTATATAGATCTTTCTCACTACACTGAAACTTTGTGAGGACAGGAATCCTGTCTCATTCACCTTTGTATCCCTAGTGTGCTATCAAGGTAAATATGCAAACTGATTTGTCCAGTGGTTTAATATAAAAATCACCAGGGCGCCTGGGTGGCTCAGTGGGTTAAAGCCTCTGCCTTCAGCTCAGGTCATGATCTCAGAGTCCTTGGATCAAGCCCTGCATCAGGCTCTCTGCTTGGCGGGGAGCCTGCTTCCCTTCCTCTCTCTCTGCCTGCCTCTCTGCCTACCTGTGATCTCTGTCAAATAAATAAATAAAATCTTTAAAAATATATACATGAAAATCACCAAACTCAAGGCCTTGAACTAACCTTAGGAAGGTCACATCTTAAGCCCATCAACAATATCTCATCCAAAAAGTGGGATGAAGTATAGGTATACAAAGTGGCTTAGGACCTTTCTACATTTAAAAAGCAGTACTATTGTAGATAAGACCTCATTTTTTATAGACCATCTTAATAGTTTGAATTATTAGAAGTAAAATTAAAGTCCTCATTTATCTTATGTATACAACATATATAAATAATAGGGAGTTCAGAAAAAGCTTCCTGTTTTCTGCAAGGAGACAACTATCCTCTATACCAAAATCAAACAGTGGCACCCTCCTCTGGTGAATATTACAGGAGCTAAAACAACACAAAAGAAAACAATTAGATGGTGGGGTTTTCTTTAAATGAAAGAAAAAGCAAGAGATAAATTACCTAATATTATGTGTTATTATCACATTCCCAATAGCAACTAAAGAACTATCTTTTACATTACTTTTCATATTTTTCCCTAAAACAAAGCCGAGATGAATGAACTGGCCACATATTATAGGAGATGACAGATAGAACAATTACTCTATTTTTAAGGAGGGGACCTATATGTGTAAAATTCTTCTATTTACATAATGACATTGATCGTGTCCCTTTTATGGATGATATATTTACCAGAAGATAGTACTGGAAATTTTTCAACCTGAAATCTGTTTAGATCTGCAACTTTCAGGTTTTAGAATATCAACTTAAAAGAAAATTTTAAAAAGTCATTCACTTACACATGCAGGCTCAAAATATGTCAGTACATCACATCCATGCAAGTACAGCCCAAAGTTTCACAACATTACTATTACATCTGGACCTTTAAATTAAAACTAAAACTGTGCTTTCTAAGACCAGAAGCAGATTCACAGCAGCCCAATTTTAATTTAAAAATATACAATAAATGTAAGCTTGATTAAATGATTTAAAACAGTCTAGGCATATAAAATGAAAATATAGACATTCTGATCAAACCAAGAAAACAATTTAGTCATTTTATTGGGAACATTATCATTTAAATATGTTTTTACCCAAGCACAGAACATCTCCTCCCTCAATTAATTTCAGGTCTTTTACCTACCCTGTGACCAAGGAGAAAGGAACCCCACCCTACACAGAAAGCTACAAAATTACAACCAGTAAGAAACCTTCATTTTGAAAGACAGAACATAGGGCTAGGTTGGATGGAAAACAGCAAAAATTGATTTCAGTTCTACCAAATAAATTTTCCAACTAAGTTGTCATTCCTGGCAAAGTTGGTTTAAAGCAGATACAGTAACTGGAAAGATTAGCAGAGTGGTGGGTGAAGTGACTTTGTATCAAAGACAAAATGCAAATAAGATAACCAATTGAAAGCTTTCTCAATGTTCACCCAAAACAAAGGCCAAAGAAAAAGCAAATCCTGAAAGAGCATGACCTGCTGGCATTCCCTAGAGCCCACCAGAGACCAGAAGGACTAAAATGAGAGTTGGAGGGAAAGTTGGATGCCGGCACAGAGCCGGGTGGAGGTGGGGGGTGGGGGTGCTAAAGAAGAAGGGGTGGCAAAGGAGGCAGAGGGAATATGAGTAAGAAAGATCTTGAAAAAAAAAAAAAAAAAAGTACGCAGCTTTGAAACTCTTACAAACTGCCAATAGAGATGGGGTTGCTGTCCTGATGCACTTGGGAGCTCGGCGCTGAAGCCACATTTGCCACTCACTTCCCCTGGGCCATTGCCCAAGGACCAGAGCCAACACTCGCCCCGACCTCCAGGAAATCTGAGCCCCGGCACTCAATTAGGGTGCCGCAGAAATGCGGCAGTGGGACCTCAACCGGCTCTAACAACATCTTTTGCCCCAGATGAACCCCAAATAAGGGACTTTAGAAGCAGAGAGATGCTTGCGCACCCACGCCGGCCAGGGCGCCCGGGCGAGATCTGGGCACCGCCGCCTCTGCGGGCATTGCCACCTCTGCAAAGGCCGGAGGCATCCCGATCCCGTGGCACGACCCTACTAGAAGCAGGCGGCGCCGTTGTCAACTAGCTCGATTGCACTTGCAAAGTTAATGGAGTTGTGAAGAAGCGCGGAGCTGCCCTTCGGGTTCCTCCTTTAGGAAAATGGGACATGAAGGAGTAAGAGCTTCCTTCATCCTCAATGAACTCTCACTGACTCGGCTCTGCAGATTTTTTCTCTTTTCCCTAAAGAGAATCAAAGATATTTTCTTCCTTCTTTGTGCCTCGCTTAGCCTCAAACCCTAGAACAGGGGCGCTGAAGCCCTAGGCCAAAGTTCACAGTAGAAACCGTAAACTCTCCACGAAAAAACCAGCACAGTCATTTGCTGGGTTCTGGCCTTGAGAAACCTCACAAATTATGAGGCACAAAATAGATTGTGGACGAACCTCCCTCCCCCTAAATGGCCACTGAGACCAAGAGGTCTGGATCTAGCAGTATTTTTTAGCAAGTTGAGCCACATTTGGATCTAGTGTCTTTGTCCAGCAGGGCACCAGGTCATCACCACGCCCCTCGCACCCAGTTCCGACCCCGCTGGTCACACGTCCTCTTGTTTAGCACACCCACACAAACGAAACCCCAGAGAACTCCTACCTCGCCCCCGTGTCCGTCAAAGATCCCGAAGATGGACGGGTGCGTCTTGTTGGCTAGGTCCGTAAGAACTTCAAATCGGTCCTCCATGTGGTCTCTACGGCCCTGGATGGAATACACAGCCACGTTGTGGCTCTTAAACTCCCAGGTCTTGGAAAACTCGGCCTCCAGGACGTCGAGCCCCCCAAGCCGATCGTTCTGCATGATCTCGGCCACCTTGCCCTTCACCATCTTCACGGCGTCCCGGCTGGACTTGACGATGGTCTTCACCTCGTCGGTGTGGAAGAAGTAACTCCACAGTGCCAAGCTGATGCACAGCAGGAAGAGCGTCTCGGGTCTCAGCAAGAAGTAGCGCATGATGCGACCCAGCAGAGACAGCAAAGTCATTGTATCCTCTATCATTTATTATCGCTACAGCCCCAGCCACCAGCAGCGACGCGCGCCCCGAAGGCTCTCCGGGTCCCGGAGCACTGCGGGGACAGCCCGCGGGGAGGGAGGCGGAGCAGCAGCCGAGGGAGGGGGGAGGAGACTCGCGGAGCCGGGCAGGAGGCTGACGAGCAGGCTGCTCCCAGCCCGCACGGCGAACAGAGGCAGTTTCCCTTTTGTCTCCTGGCCTCCGCGGCAAGGAGGCCCGCGCCTCGCGCACCGGCGCCTGTGCCCGCGGACCGCGCCGCCTCCCCTCCCCGCGCCCCTTTGTGAGGCGGCGGCCGAGACGGCAGCGGTGGCAGCAAGGCTGCACCGCTGGTGCCCGAGATGGGCTAGAGGAATCAAGTTAAAGTTGCGCCGGGCGAGTCTACGGTGGTGGGCGGGAGAATCCGGGGGCGCTGGGGCCCGCGCTGCCCTTCCGCGAGTGCCCCTCGCCGCTCTGGGGAGCGATCAGCAGCAAGGTGAAGAGGCGCGGGACGCGAGAGCCCGGCGGGCAAGGGATGCACGTCCCCTCGGTCGCCGCGGCAGGGGAGCGCAGAGCCGGCCGAGCGCTCCGATTCCTTCAGACACCCCGGGAAGCCCCAGAGAATAAAAGTTTTGCGGGAGCCTGGGCAGAGGCGGCGGTACGCGGAGCCCGGCGACGCAGCACGATCCGCGCTGAGCCGCAGGCGGCCGGCGGGCTCAGCCTGCCTCTCCCCAGTACCTCCCTGCTCGGCTCCGCACCGCTCGGCTCGGCAAGCTCGCTCGCTCCTCTCGCCGCGGATCGCGCTCGCCCCGCCCCGCGCACTCGCCCCGCCCCGTCCCTCCCCGGGAGCTGGGACTCCCGGCCCGAGGTGCTCGCGCCGAGCTGTCAAAGGCTGAGGCAGCTCCGCCACCGCTGGCTCTCTGGCGGCTCGGGGCGTTTCCGACGAACAGAGGGGGAGAAAAGGGGCGCGTCCGCTCTCTGGGTCCAGTAGATGGCCTTTCCTCCCTTGTGCGGACTCCCAGGACAAAATAATACTGGTTCTGGTCGTCTGAACGGCGGTTTTCTCAGGAGCTAGTATCGCTGGCTGGAAAGCAAAGTGCCGCACGTGAGCGATCCCCCCTCCGGCTGGTCGCACTGTAGTGCGGTCCCCGCCTCGCCTGGCATAAGGCAAGCGAGAAGGGACGCACTTCTCCAAGCTCGCAAAGCGAGGCGGAGAGGATCCGGCAGTTGGGTTCTGCGACAGAGGCCTGCTGGGATCTCACGAGAGGCGGAGAGCGAACCTCAGGCCTAAAACCTTTCTCGCGACGAGAAAAGACCCTCCCGACAACAGCAGGATGTGGGGACTCGGAGCCACAGGGAAATGCGCTCTGAGAATAACTTCGGGAGGGGCGAGGATGGGCTGGCCTCCCGAGGGCTGCGGCCGCCCCTGGAGCAGAGGACGCAACCACGAGGGCCTTTGGGCGGTGACAGCCCTTCGGCGGGAAGACAAGGAGCCTCCTAGTGGAGCCGCGGGGCGCTCCCGACCCCACTGCGGCGCGAGGGCTGTGACTGGGCTGTTCCAGTTTCAGGATCCCTTTGAAGCTCCAAACTCCAGGCCTCCTACCGCCTACTCAGTCATCACGGGATAAAGTGCGGTCCGGGTGGGAGTCTTTCGGTGAGCAGAAGTGAAAGGCCGCAGAGAAGAGTACGGGCTTCCCGAGACCCTCAAGGGTAACTTGGTGACGCACGGGCAGATGTCGATGGCCTTGAAGATTTGGGGGAAATGACCAATGTGCAAATCAGCTTAAAATCCAGAAAGAAGGGAGCTTTAAAGGAAAATAGTCACTCTCGCTACCCCTGTCCAGGAAGAAGAGTGCTGATCTGCAGCTTCCATTCCGCTAGACTGGAGAGTGGGGGCTGCCTGATCCAAGCCCAGCCAGTGTCTGTCTCCCCAAGCATTCCTGGATTGGTATGATTCCCGACTACGTTTTTTAAAAAACAAAAATAAATAAAAATAAAAAGGAATAAAATACTGGAAGGAAATACACCGAAATGTTCAGTGTGTTTAACTACAGTAGTAAATGGTATGTGGTTTTCATGTTCTGCTTTGGACTTTTTGTCTGCTTTCTACAACTTTTCCAAAACATTTACAAAATGCACAGATAACCATCAGAACAAGAAAGAAAGAAAGAAAAACTTTGACATTTAAATGGCATATACAGAATGTTCTCAATTATATACGCATGCATAGGAAAGACAGGAAGGAAATAGGAAGAACTGTTAACAGGATGTTGTTTTTGACAACTAAGATATGGTCCCCTATTTTGTTTTGCACTTTTTGGTGTATTCCACCTGATAAATAGAGTAAACAGTTTTGAAATTAAATTAAGTCATTCTGTTCAAAGGTCTTAAGCCATGAGATTCCAAAATGAGATAATGAATTTTAAAGTCTTTAGGAACTTTAAAGCAAAAGTAATACATTAGTGTTGTCATGAAGATATGAGGTTACAGTATTTCTTACTGTAAATTAGCAAATGGCTTTTGGGTGAATTATCAGTTTTTGTGTACATGAACCTTTCTCGAATGGCAAAGGCAATTTCCAGATAAGTTGATCAAGATTCCAGAACTACAGGTTTAACCAGGCCCTGGAGCAGAAGTAAGATTCCAAACCTGGTGACCCATCCAGCCTGTCCACAACATTACTATATTGATGATAGCAGCAGATACTCATGAGAGACATAACTTGTGTTTCCTCCATACCTAAATAAAGAAGAGAAAGGACCATACTGGTTTTCCTGGAAGTTAAATAGCAAAAGGAGGGCTTGACTTGACTAATAAATCCAGATACCCTATGGATCCTGTGGAGATATGCTTTGACATTTACATCTAAGTAGTTCATTTTTGTGAAAAATCAATAAAATGATTTTTCAAGCAGACCCTATAGGCATTTTTAAATTTCTATGAAGAAATTTGTGTCATTTACATAGTAACTTTTAAAGGCCTAATAAAGCATTTTGTTATAGGTCACTATGAATGTTAATATGTTTGAGAAAAAGACCTTCCTCTAGTGACAGACTAACATTTGCATATTCCTAGAAATCATAAAGCTTTTTCATGTATATCAATTTATTTCCATTCTCATAACAATCCTAGGAAGAAAATAAAGGAGGTATTACCTCTGTAATAAATATGAGGAAAATGAGGCACAAAGATGTTAACTGAATACCACAATTCAGTCTTAAGAAGTTGGAAAACTCAAACTCAGTTCTTCTGACCACGAATTCAATACTCTTAGCCCATTGATTGCCCAGTGATACTGAGATGATTAGTCTAATTTTTATGCTTCTCTAATAACATTTCAGTGGCTCTTTGTTATAGAAATCTGGGAGAGTACACAAGCCCCACAATGCTCACTTTAACCTTTGACTTTAGCCTTATCAGCACCACACTCCACGAACCCACTGAGAATAAGTGCTGGGCAGAGGACAAGAACAAGTAAACTGTCCTTCATCTCTACATAAAAGCCTTAAAGATTTGTTGCTAGAGTAAATACTATCTGAATTTCACAGGGAAGAAAAGAGTATCATAGACTCTGCCTTATGCAAATACTATACCATTACAGGTGACATAGTAATGAACCAAAAGTTAATTGCAATCTGGTTTTCATGAAATAACATTTATTATTTAATAATAAAAAGTAATAGAAAATGTTTATTAGTAATATTTACCAGGTAATTACCATTTTAACTTGGCAATGAACTCATGTCAGCCTTGCAAGAATATAAAGAACAAAAAATATAACTTTTAGAAGTAATACAGTCTCAGAAAAAACTTTCAGAATTGTAGCTCTTAGGTTTAAGAAATCTTTAAAACAGAGTTTGGTAACAAATATATTTTTTCTGTATGATGGTCTATGATGTCCTCAGTTCCTTTTGTTTTTGACAGTTATTGCAAAGTTGTAAAGGTTAAGTAAAATGACATCAGCTCTGGATGATGAATATAATAAATATCCCTGAAGTAAATTTTTAATTAATCTTCTATACATACAGAAATTCTCTGCACATTTTTCAGTTTCCCAATTATGAGTTTGATTTGTGTTCTGTTTTGTTTATATTTGTGTTCTGTGTTTTGTATTCTTTTGTATTTGTATTCCTTATTGTTTTTGCCTTCTGCCTATTAATATATACTGAGTAATGACTTGTATTCTTTTACTAATATTCTATCAATATACATCTATATTTTTAAACTATACATACAAAACTGTGCATAAAGCACAACAACAATGGGTACTACACCCATGAACCCATGAACCCACCATCCCACCTAAAAACCAAACTGTGACCAATCTTTGTACCAGCCTAGGAGTTTCTTTCCCTATTCCACTTCCCTGCTTGTCCTCCACAGGTAACCACTATCCTGAATTTTATATTTCACCGTCCCCTTGTCTTTTTAAAAAATAACATCATCATATATGTTTGTATCCCTAAGTAATATATTTTTTTAATGCTTGCTTGGTTTTAAGCTTTTTATAAAATGGGTATCTTACTGTGTGTAGTCCTCTGGGGTTTTTTTTGTTTGTTTGTTTGTTTGTTTTTGTTTGTTTGTTTGTTTGTTTTACTTAATACTGCTTAATACTGTATTTCTAGAACTTTCCATGCTGTTACATATAGTTCAGTCATTTTCACTGCGGCATAATATTCTACTGTGTGACTACAATTTATCTATCTTCCTTCTGTAGACAGTAGTAAGCCTAAGGAAATAAATTCATCATTTTTAAGTAAGTATAATATATCAATCTCAATTTGTAATTTTAATATCTCAATTGTGTCAAATGGAAAACTAATCTAACAAACACCAATCATATTATGGTGTAATATGATTTTATTTCACTGGACTCCAAAAACACAAGGTCCTTTTCTATAACCCATGTTTTTGGATTAATTATAAATATATATCAAGGGGACTTTTTTCTGAATAAGATTTTTATATCATTGCACCAAGTCTGTGTACATAAACCCCACCCACCTGAAGAATCCATCATCTAATTACCCTAGGCTTCTCTACGATAATCTTCAAACAAGCTTCCTAAATTATAAAGTTAATATAAAGCATTACCTTAATTTTTATACTAATTAACACACATCAACATTCTAGCTAGTTCATAATGTGAAACATTATGAATAGTTGAATAATCTTGCTTAAAACCCCTAAGTGATTTCTCAGCGCTCTTAGAATAAAGGCACAAGTCTTAGCTACAACCTTCTTGTCCTTCTCAGTGTTGGCCTTCTCAGCCATGGCACCTGTTCCCTCAGCCCATCCACTTCAGCTACATTTGCCTTCTTACAGCTCCTATAAAGCTCAAACTCCCTTTTTACTCAGGACCTTTATTCATGCAGTTCCATTTAGCTAGTATACTCATTTTTCCCAAGGCCACTCTTCCATCCACACTTCCTTGTTACCTATCATCCCTCAGATCTCAGCTCGTGTATCACTCTCTCAAGAGCCCTTCCTGACTCAACAATTGAAATGAGGTCCCTCTTGTACTCTCTCATGGCAACCTGTACTTTACTTCAGAGTGCTCATCAAAGTTGTACATATATATTTTGTGTGATTTTATAAAGTTAATGTCTGCTCCCTGCCCCGACTCACTACAGTTTAAATGCTCCATGAGAGCAGGAACCGTTTCTGTTTTGCCCTCCAGTGTAACTGCAGTACCTAACACAATGCCTGGCACACACTATATATTATAAATATTTGTTCATGAATGAATGAAGACAGTTATTCTAAAATCATTATTTCAGACCCACTCAGATTCTCTCTACTATTGCGGGTAATAAGTGAAACTAATCAATAAGGCTTTGAATCCTAAAGAGCAATAGAAAAGAAAAGTCAAAGAATAACTCACCCATGGATAGTTAAAAATTGATTTTACTAACAGACAAAACATTAAAGGTCATTCAAGGTTTTATGGGGTTTTTTTACTTTTTTTTTTTTTTTTTTTTTTTTACATTGTTGCTCTTCTTAAGATCATACTTGCATTACAGACACGGGGGAATTCTTTACAAGAACATTTTTACAAAATGAGTGTCTTTTGTCCATTGCTCTACTAGGATATTTGTCTTTTTTTTTCTTTTGAAGTGTGAAAGTTTGTTTGTTTTTTTTTTTATCCTAAGGCTATTATTCAAGGTGTAAATATTTTTTCCATCTTATCACTTACCTTTCCATTGTTTATGATGCTTTGAAATATAAGGAAATTTATTTCTGGTTTTGTTGTTTATATTTTATTTTTACAAAACCACTTCTGGGGCACATGGGTGGCTCATTCGGTTAAGTGTCCGCCTTCAGCTGAGGTCATGATCCCAGACCCGTATCAGGCTCCCTGCTTGGCAGGAAACCTGCTTCTCCCTCTCTCACTCCCCCTGCTTGTGTCCCCTCTCTCGCTGTTCCTCTCTCTGTCAAATAAATAAATAAAATCTTTTTAAAAATAAAAACAACCAATTCTATCTCTCTTTTTAATAATTAGTGCCTTTTATATCATGCTTAGAGTAGGCAAGCAAGCTTTTTATTCCTCTTTCTCTATGAGAGAGAGAGAGAAAGAGGAATAAATGCACTCTATAAATGCACTCTCCAATGCACTCAAGGTACATTTCTCCAGTTATTTTTCCTACCATTCCCAATACAGTGTAGAATATAACTCATTCATTTACTCAATCCTCTGTTTATAAGTTTGTCATTTATTCAGCTACAGTCAGCTGACCGGCTACAGTCAGTCGCTGTACTACTAGAACCAGGCAAAACTGACATGTTTCCTACCTTCATGGAGCTGATAGTGAAAAGGGCAGTTCTTTAACATATAATCACTCATCAACATACTACACACTGACAAATGTCATTAACAAGAGCGTAAGCACACGGTATACACTTCCTGTGGTGAATGTGCTGATGGTAAAGCCAGGGCAAAGGGCCTGGTAGCCCTTCTGCAATGGAATAAATT